AACATTTGAGGTTTGAAAATTTTCTTAATTTTTTTGTTTATATTTGTTTTATTCCGGGACTATAGCAACGACTGGGATGCGTCTGAGATTCTCTGGATGCGTCTAGAGAAGTGTCTTGTTATAGCTCCGTTATTAATGCTGAAAGTACTAGGATGAGTCTTAATTCCCGGGGGATGAGTCCTCTCAGAGATGCGTCTCTGTGTTCGGGTGTACTTTTACTTCAGATGCGTCTGAAAGTATCACAGCAATCAATTTTTCATTTTTTTTTATACTTTAGAAAGAATCGAAATCGTTCAACGTAAAAGCTTTCTGGAAAAATAGTTCTACTGTTATGAAAACATTAGGAAAAGCATCAGATATGAATTCCAAAAATATAATCCACCAAATGCTAGACATACATTATGATTTCAGTGAAGCGCTTTCTAACACTACACGTGAAACTATAAAATCTGGTAATACTGTACATTCAAACTCATCTACATTATATGTTGAATTATGTATTATTTACCTTTCTTTATGACATGAACAATAGCTTTGAAACGAAAATCAGATTCCTATCCATCAGAAAGTAGAAAAAAGAAAGATACGATCAACATAAAGGATCCAGAGTCTCTTAATGATGCGAACATAACGAATTTGGAAGAAGTGATCATTCATGAAGAGGAAGAAATTGCGGGGCAGTTAACCAATGAGAACAATCCTGAATTATCGCCTATCGAACCTGATATGGAATTTAACAAACAAATGATGCGTGACGCATATATAAAGATACGTCAGGATCTCTGTGATCTTTCCTCACAGAAGGATGTAAGTTTATCGTTCTGTTTTCATTGGATCTGCATCTGTTTCAGAAAAAGATTTTTTTGCACTGACCATTACATCTGTTTTACTCGTTTTAGTGGTTTATTGAAAGTTATAGTGTTTCAGATGCATTTCGCAAATATCAAATTAATAATATTGATAAACTAGAAGGTGGTGAAACCTTCCATTTTTCATCAGATGTTGAGGCAATCTTGTAAGTATAGTTTGACTTTACATTTATAATTAAGGCCAGGATATCTGGCTGTCTAATAAAATCTTTGTATTACAGGTCTCTTCACCATATTATGTTTATTGACATGACAAGAATGAAGAAGCCATCGTATTTAGATATAGATGAACGAAAATGGCGTGCTTCAGTACGTCAACCAAAACAACCAGTCCCACCCAGTTTCTTTGGAGAAATTATGGATGAATATGAAAGGGTATAGTGTCACGTTGTCTGGTGTGTGCAGATTTATGATAATATAATAATCTAATATCTTTTGTAATAAAAATAGGAAATAAATGACATAGATGAGCTTCGTTCTAAGTTTTATGATATATGGGGGAAATATCGTGACAAGGTCATTTATTTAGATAATGAGAGATGTTTGTTTGAAACCACGCAAGCAGTTGCACGTGCATTGTAAGTTTCTTTAATTCCAATCTTATTTTCCTTGCTGTTTCTCTCCAATGACTTTCCATCTGATCTCTTCTTCAAGCTACGAAAGGATGCACATGTATCCGAGTTCGAGGAAAAAAAACGAGGATATTGTTGTACATGATTATGTACATGATACTTTCAAAGAAATATTTCGTGACTCGAATTATGATATTTCTTGGTAAGAAAACATTTTGTTGAAGTTTTTTGATATTTGCTTATCATTCTTTTATTTTTACTTGTCTTTAATAGGGCAAACACCGAAAGTTTGACTTCAAGAAGCCACCGTGCGAATTACGGACGCTCCCAGGGTAGAAAGCCTGATATAATTGTGTATCGAATCGTAGAAAGAGATAAATACGAAGAAACATGTTATGTTGAAGCCAAAAATTTCTCAATTACAAGGAACAGTAAAATTGGCGGTTACAATCTTTACAAGGTAGCTATTCTTTGCCAGGGAGGCATCAACAACATTATTTCTTCGCGTGGAAACAAACCAGGAGTAAAGTCCTTTGGAGTACATATTTGTGGTAAGTCTGCTTTTTGCATTTTTTCTACGATTCAATTTTTTTTTAATCCACCTCCTCATAAAACATTATAGAAGGATATATCTATTTTGGAATAATGGACTTGGAGTACGACGGTATTTACCGTTATTTTCAAATCTCCGAGATTAAACTCGCTCAGAAGCTTTCTGAATTTAACCTTGTACGAAAGTTGATAATAGAAGCTTTTTTTTTCAAGGTAAATCTTACTCTTTGATGACGTCAAAATTTTGAGTTTCCACACACTTATATTTTTTTATTTGCTATCCAGTGCCGTATTGACAGTTTTTATTCCAATAAGAATGACAATGGGTTCTCCAATAAACATGAAAATGTGTCACCTCAACGGAATAGCTTCTCCCGTCATCCAACAATCACACCTAAGGTGCCTAGAAATATGATCCCGGGTGTTAGCATAACTAAAGACACGGTTTTCTAAATTATATGTATGGTCATCTACATCCATAGGATCTTTGTTTTATTATATGAAGTAAAAACTTTATTAAAGTAAAAAAATAAAAAAAAATAAAAATCATATTGCAGTTAAATACTGCAGACGTAAAAAATACATATCGTATTTACATGATGCAAATTATTTCTTTATCAAAAAGTCAGCCAATGATATATAATCTTATCCCCCGTGTAACATCATTTATGCAATTATCCATTTATACTTATACCTACTAAAGATCGTTTATTATACATTTATTTATGCGAAACTAGCAAACATATATACCCTTGCAATAAATTAAATATACGTAAAAAAAAAAAGGAAAAGAGGTATATGTACAACAAGCCGTTTAATAAGGTTGCAGTGAGTTGTTTGATTGGCAGCAAAAGCATTGGGGGGATGTTGTACAATTGAAAATTTTTCACACAGTTGCACAAAAAAATTGAAATAAAAAAAATCATGAAAAATTTTATTTATTTACTTTTACATCACTGATCGCATGCATCGCATCAACAAATATATTTAGCAAACGGTACAATTTTTTACAAATCATCGTTATATACATACAATTTTTATTTTCAATTCGTGTATCTTTTCGCAAAAAAATAAAAACAAAAAGCTAATTCACAATTTTAAAAAACGCATTGTCAACGCAACAATGTTTTGAAGAAAAAGGCACACATTTTGAACAACATGCGATCGATGACTCATAATTAAAAGATGTGTATGTATGCATTTGTTATTTATTCGATTCCTGCTCGTCATGAATGATGTCCTTGCTCAATTTGAGGTAAGCACGCTCTTTGCCTTTGACGCTCATGGAAGTAGTATTCGTGAAAAGGAGGGAATGAGGGCAAGGAGAAGAAGAAGTTGTCGATGTCAAAGAAGTGATGGTGGTGAAAGCAGATGCTGAAATCGTAGATGTTGAAGAAATATTACGTTTTCTTTTTTTTGTTTATTTTTTCAAAACTTTTTCAATCAGCTTCAATTTTTTTTCTTCTTGATCATTTTTATTCTCACCACTTTGGTTACATAATTTGGTATCACCTGTAACCAAGTTCTGCTCTATTTCTTTTGCTACCAAATGCTTATTCGTTCTGCTAATTTTTAACTTTCCAATAACTGAAATGATCAATTTAATTAGATTATTTTTATTTGCTTGTACCTATTATTTTCATCTACGTACGTCACAAAAACTTTGGAATCGACACTTTGCTTTTTGTCAATGGGCTATACACTTTCTCCTCAAAACAAAATTGCCACTTTGTTCATTTTCTACAAAATAGTCCTTGTTCGCAGCATCTGTAAATATCACAAAAGGATCTTGACAAGGTAGATTTTCTTCACTTTCAATACTTTTGTTAACCATGACGGTTTGGGTCAACGTAACCTATGGAAAGGAAATTTAGAAGGTCAACAAAAACTCAATTTTTTTTCAAAATGTTAAATGAAAAAGTCGTTACATATACAACTCCTTTTTCCACAACATATCTCCCAATCAGGACAACTATCACATGTTTTGAAAAGTTCCCCCTTTGTCGTAGAATCCTTTGAAGCTGATCTCCCTAAAAATTCTATCATTTCTATACAACGTGTTTTCACTGATCATTCTCTTAGTAAGAGTTACGCTTTTAACAAAACAGTTTGCAACAAAAATGGAATACATTGTTGTATTGTTATTATTGTTATTGGTTGGTTGGGTTTGATATCATGGTAAAACAAATTGTCAAATTTTCTTCAATTAATTAATTATGTTAAATTTCAAATTTTTTTTTTTTGTGATTGGCATATCGCTTTCAAAATTTCAAAATTTCCGAATTTACGTAAAAATATAATAAAACATGTTGATTTCAAATCACTACTCTTCCCCATTTTCAAAGATACAGTTCTAAATTCAAAATTAAGATAATATATATATATAGTAGTCTAGAGCTATGAAGAGAGTTGGTGGTTATAAAAATGTTAATTGTGTAAAAATTCATTTGGAATACAATAAGAAAAATTTCTTTGTAATATCACCTTTGTTCTATTACAACCTCCAAAAAACTATAAAAAATAAAAATCTTCTCTTCATAGAAGTGTTTCATAAATAACTCGCAACTAATGCCTTTGATATTTTCACAAATGGAATGATTTTTCAGAAGCCTTAACAATTTAAAATTCGTGATATTAGAATATACTATTTTCAAAGACATAGATTCCAAATTCTAAATTTACAGTAAGGATAGCGTATAAGCAACATTCTAGAGCCTTGGAGAGTTTTTAGTGACTATAAAAATACAAAAAACTTTATTTAAAATATAACAGAAATCCTTTATTTTAATATTTGCTTTACTACCAAGAAGCGTAAACTTCTTTACATTTTAATAATTAATGTTGCATGAAAAAAGGGTAGCCATAAAAAATCTGTGAATATGGATTTATCTTATTGATATTAAATATGATTTGTTGATCAACCAATATCGAATACCCTAGTCTCTCTCCATTTCAATTTTAAAAAACCTACAAAGTGAACAAAAAATTATAAAACTATATATATAGGGATAAGGGTATATGAAAAGGAAAAGTAATAATGAATATAGTTCTAAAGAGTATCAAAAAGCAATTGATTTTTTGAAAAAAAGGTGTAATTGTGATTGTTCTTCAAGAATTCCTAAAGAAGAATTTGCAGCATTAAGAGAATCCTTTCAAGCTCTTTTCAAGTCTAAACAAGATATATTTTTAATGGCTCAACTTAAGGCAATGAATGGAGGATCAATAAGCACTAGTAGACGCCTTAAAAAGAAAACTAGATCTAATAAAAGAACTTTCTACCATTGGGATCACAATATACCTTTTTGTCAAGAAACTTACCTCAATATGTTAGAAATTGGTAGGACTTATTTTGAAAACATTAGAAATCATCTGATAAACAATGGTTTCCTGCTAAGAATTCATGGTAATATTAAAAGGATACCTCAATGGAAAACTAAAATGGTGATTGATAAAAATGTTGCTGAAATAGTAAAAAATTTTCTAGAAAATTATGCAGAAGTTCATGGATTACCAAGTCTAGGAAGAAATATCAATAGAATAACTTAATCAATTATATTCTTACCAGCTGAAATGAGTTATAAATCAGTACACAGAGATTTTTTGGCTGGTCTAAAAGAAGATAGCAAATTGAAATCTTTAAAATATGATGCTTTTAGAAAGTTATGATATCAATTGACACCAGAGATTCAAATTATGAGTCTCAGGACTGATTTGTGTGATACTTGTCAACATTTTAGAAATGATTTACATTATAATGCTCATTAAGAGAAAAAAGCTAAACATTTGCTCAAAAGATTTAAAGAACATCTGTTCAAGGTCAAACTAAAAAGAAATTATTATAATAAAAATACAAAATTAGCAGAAGAACAAAAAAAACTAATTGATCAATATTATTCAAAGAATAAAATACAATATTGTAGTGTTGATGCTACTGCTCATTATAGTTATGATTGAGCCCAAAATATTCATGTACCACATTTAGATCAACAAATAAGTAAAATTTATTACCTTAGTTCATGTAAAGTTCATTTATTTGGTATTCAAGATGAAGTAGTAAGGAAACAAATCAATTATATTCTTAATGAAGATGAAATTATAGAAAAAGGA